ATTAAATTGAGATCAACAGGTCTAATCTCACGGTTACCGGTAAAAGAAATTTGTTACTTTCTTTGACACCCGAAATAGAATTTGCCCTTCTATCTCACAGCTTACATTGTTTGACAAAACTTTGGCAGCACTGTTTCTTTCGACCATGTCAAATATGTCAAATTTGGCAGTTGGTAGTGTGAAAAAAAGAATATTCACATCGAAATAGAAGACGGTTGTTAAATCATAAATATTTGAACCTAATTATGGAACAGAAACAAAAAAAAAAAACTGAATGAAAAAGCTGTCTTCCAAATAAAAAGGGGTCATTTTGTTCTTACTTCTCAACTTACCCACGCCTTTTTGAACTTTTTCTTCCTCTTCAATGAATCCCAGACCCAAAATACGCACTTTGGGTTTTTTTATTTTCTAAAATTAACAACACAAAATCAAACAGCGGATTTTTCGCTACGTCCTTTTTCGCTGGTAACAAAATTTACAGGGTGACAGTGAATGAAAAAAAGTAAATTTTATTACCTCAATAGAAGAAGCCTGTAAGTCAACATCTTTAGTAAAAAAAAATGAAAACATTTTTATCTGCAGCAAGTCATTCCCTACAAGTCACGCACGAGCATATTAAATTGCGTATGAACTTTCTTACTCGCATTGCCAGTTGAATATACGTGTAAATATGTAAGTACGTATACACTCGTATGTAGTATATAACATTTGTGCAGTTGTAGTATTTTGTTCTACTTGTACGGCTGCATTTGTGTTACGCCACATATCCTGCCACATACATATGAACATACACGTATTTATTGGCATGTTGTTTGTAAAGGAAATACCGTAGGCTTAAATATTTTTTGTAAGTCTACATTATGGCTTATAGTGAATGGATTTTAAGGCTCGCACGCACGTAAAATCTACACATATTCATATTGTATATGTATGTAAACAACGTTGTGATCCCTTGAAAGCGTAACGCATCACGTTCAACACTAGTTTGGTATTTTTTCATGTTTATTTTTCAAATGCAAACTGAGTTTTAAGTATAAAAATACATAAATAAATATGAGTTCATATATTCTTTTAAATTCTGAATTAAATATGCATTTGAGTTTTAGAGAAAAGGTACGAGTAAGTTAAGTATACGCCAAGATGACCTTCAAGACAGTATTCGATACAACGTAGCCGTTACACATACATATGTACATTTAGAGATAAGAACTATTGAACTTGCTCTATAATAGAAACAAATTTTTGGAAATATTAAGCAACGAAATTTATATATGAAAGAGATTTACCAAAAATATCGCGCGCCACCTGGCCACTGCACTTTTAGTCGGTGCATTCTACTTTCGAAACCAAAGCCACTGTAGCCGCCGTGATGTGGCATACATTTACAGTTTATTGTCCTGATTCATTTACGTTTTCAATACTTGCTTATTTACATGCTTCCATACCGAATAAATACATATATTGTATATTGCAGCAGTGCAGTTTTCATCCAGCACGAATCAACACTTAACTGTGTTATGATTCCATACATGTGTACGCATGTTCCAGGGGCAATCTCATATACGCAAATATACGAGTATGCGCTTGTGCATGAAAGCAAACTTACAAACATTCAACACTCAAATCAAACCCGTTCGTACGTGTTTCCGTAATGATATATCGGCTACTTTCCCTAGATCCAAGTTTAATCCATAATACTCACTGGCATATTGATGCTTCCTGGCAGGCTAATACACACGCATTCCTACGTAATTATGTTATCATGTAACGGGTTTCATGAGGTTCCATGCAAACTGGCTGAAAACTACTTCGAAAATTGTCAGTTAAAAACTTTTCTTGACAAACGAGAACTCACAAATGATAATTGTGCGATTCACACAGAAATATATTAATCTCATACTAGTTCGAAATAGCCAATAGAATAACTAGTTACAAATTAAATCAAGACTATTATTTATTCTCTTAAACGAGGATTTGAAGAAATAAATATAAATATAAATATACAATAAATTAATCCAGAGAATACTAGTAGAAAACTAGTACTAGTACTTTTTCTCACCAGTAGACCACATCACGGCTGCAGGATATGCACTGATTACGTGTGCAGGGCGCATATATTCAAATTCATACTTTTTCGTTACAAAAACTCACGTGCACTCGCAATTTCCATTTGCATGGCCGTATGCACATACATATGTACATACATTAGTATATGTGGTGGAAAATCAAGTAAACCACTTGAACGGAGGACGAACGAATGAATAAAAGTATACAACAACAAGAAGCACAATAGTAAAGGGTACAGAGCAGCTCACATACAAATGTATCTAACATACATAACATCAATATACATATATAACAAATCTGAAATACAATATTGACAACAAAAATAACAACAAGTGCATTTCTAAAGTATAATGCTAACCAATACCAACTTACATACACATGTTATATACATACATACATATACATATGTATTGAAAAAAATTCTCTATTGAAGTTAATACAAAAGCGCTCCGAGAGTAGAGTATGTCACGAGCGATATTTTAAAGGAGCAATGCCCTTCATATGCATACTGGTACACACGTTCTTGTATGTATGTGTATATATGTGTGTGTGGCATACTGGTACATAGTGCTTATTATTTAATAAATGCTTTATAAGGATGAGCTAATAAATAAGCATGCAATTACCAATGTGAGCAAGGTTACATACGGCAAAATACAGTATATGTATATAATATATATTAACATGTATATATAAACAAACTTTGCATCTGCATTGCAATTCGAATCAATTTTAAATTATTTTATGACATTCTTCAGGTTCCGAATTTGCTGGTGTCTCTTAAAGGCAGCTAATAATGTACAACCGAAGGATTGATTTGTGTCCTTTTTCGACTTGTTCGACATTTCCAAAATTCCTATGCATATATTCAGTTACATTTACATTTACTGATATGTGATATGGCGAAAACATAAATAAAATGTTAATTAAAGAAAATCCAATTAATAGATGAATGAATACATTTTTGGAAACAATTATTTGCAAGTGGACGACCATATGCACTTACAGAAGGTGAATAAGCCTATGCGTATTGACTTTAATGCAAAAACAAAAATATTTTAAAAACAACATTATACCAAATTTTGAATCTATATATAGATAAGTACGTGTATATGTATGTATGTATAGACGTACCTGAGCAATCAAAGACCGAAATTTTAATTGGAATTCCCTTATTTGTTATGAAATTCTAATTATCGCAATTCCCTGCAGCAAAAGAAAAAGAAGAAAGGAAAACTCACTAAAAAATACATAGAAAAATATTGCGGTAAAGTGAATGAAATGTTAGTGTGTGTGTGTAAGTGTGCCACTGGACATTTCTTTATTGCAGGGAATATTTGTGAAAATGTCATCTTCACCTAAGTAAATGTAAATTTCAATTATTAGGGACAATATGTACAATTCATGAAAACTAAATTCAAGTAAAAAAATAAAAAGGAATGAAACGAATTAAAAACGAAAAAAAATTACAAAATTATAAAAAAAAAAATTATTAAATAAATCTAGTTCAATTAAGTTAAAAAAGTAAAATAAAGAAAGTAACTGAAATTAAATCAAAATAAAACAAAAAATTGAAATAAAATAAACTAAAATAAAATTAAAAAAAATTAAATTAAATAAACTAAAAAAATAGCATAAAAATTAAAAAAAATAAATATTATTATAAAGGAAGACAGAATAAAACGAAATAGAATATAGTAAGACTGAAAAAAAGCAACAAATTTTTCCTCTTGTAATTTTTTAGTTTAATTTACAAAAATCACCAGACCACTGCACTCTATTTTTTAGAATCTTTGCAGTCATTTCAACAACAATTATGCTCGATATTTCCCTTTTTTTATACGCAGATTTGTAATAACTCCATTTGTCCAAAACCAAAAATTTTTGCCGCATTTCCCACATTTCCCACATTTTTTACGCATCCTGTCAGCAACTATCGTTCTCCACCAGCGTCGCATGCTGACTTACAAAGTTTTATGATTTTTTACTTTTACTTTGATTTCATTTTCCTTTTTTTCGAATTATACTCACCAACTTCTTCAGCTGCTCCTTAAGAATTTTTTCTTCGTTATATTTCTGTTCACCACCGCATTTCCTGTGGCAAGTGGGTAGGCAACAAAAAATCACTGCAATAATACAAAGCAAGCATGCAAATAAAACAATAGCAGCAACAACGAGAGAAGCAGTTTTTGAAGCAAAAGCTAACTACACGAATGCGTTACCACAAATTGTGGCATGGTCAGGTGTAATGTTGCTAATGATTTTTTATTTAAATTTTTTCCTACCGCATTTCTCGTTTACGTTGTTTTGTGCGCAATGTGTTGGCAGCTGAAAACTGGATGTAACGGCAACTGACAATAATGACGCAACGAGCTGCAGAAGAAAAAAATGATTAAAATGTGGTAAAAATGTCGGAAATAGAAAGAGAATAAAAAATAAAAGTAAAGCAAAGCAAACTGCAGTGAAGGGCAATCAAACTTTTCTCCTCCATCAAATATGTACTTCTTAATGAAGCCGAGGTTTGGAGTGCAAATACGTATTCAGTTTAGTTGCAAAAAAAGAAGACGAAAAAAAAACAACTTTAAAGCCAAGTCCACTTGAGTAAATGTCCTTAGGACAATGGCGCAAAATGAAGTCAATCACTCAAACCATTAAACTGAATTTTAGGGACTTGATTTCTTTTGGTAGTTTCTTCTGCGACCACCCACTGTGCCGCTACATTCCACACTACATTTATCCTCCTCTCCCGACGCTGCTCACACACCTACATATTCACCTCTGCTTCTGGTACTTTCGTTTTCCAAATTACTCACACATTTAAATGAAACAAATTTGGTTTTTATAAAATTGTTTATTTACAAAATTTATTTAGATATTTTTTATTTAAATTATTGCTAATTCATGTTCCCTTTTCTTTTGTTTTTTATTTCCAGGAACCCAAAGCAAAACAAGTATGTAACTCATATTTTCTAAACATTTTTCCTTGTAATGCCAAAAGTAAGTCTTTAATAATATTTTAATTTTAAATAAATTTAAACGAAAATTAAAAATATTATTTTACCACAAAATTAAATTTTATTTATATACATATACATGTCATACACTTTTACATATCATATATACATGTACATAAATACTTTTAAATGCAAATGATCATAAATTATCCTCTGCGTCGTGCCACATTTTGTGTCCATCTGTTGAATGTTGCCGAATCTGCTCATCTTATTTTTGTTGGTTCAATGGCATTCGGAAGAAGAATTTTTACTTTATACACAGTTACCGGTACATACATATGTATTGTATGTAGTAGAAACAGAAATGAATGACAAAGACTCGCCACTCGCGGCAGATGTTTTACTTTTAATTGATTTTTAAAGCGTTTCGGTATACTTGCAACTTAGCATTGTCTTCCGTTCTTCGGTTTTTGGATTTCTTCGATGCACACTTCTGAGTTCAGTAACCGCGCTTAACAAAAAAGATGAATATTTATTTATAAAATTGGAGGTCTTTGTGAGAGGCTTAAAAGAAGGTGGAGTAGTTTTAGAAGAGATGCAATTAAGTCCTTATTGAGGAGTTTTGAGTTTTGGAACAATAAATACATTCGACACTATTCAGAAAAATCTTTTAAAAAAATTATTTAATTTTTTTAATTTAAGAAATTTGTTTTTAATAAATTTTATTTTCTACTATTTCTAATATATTTATATATTAATTTTTTTTTATTATGTCGTTATCCGTTTACAGTTAACTTTTTGAATTAAGAAAAAAAAAAAACAATATTCTGCTTCCAACAATCCAGATCGTTTTTTCTAGTTTTCGTCAGTTATTTCATTTTTTTCACATTACGCCGGAATGCGTTCTCATATTCAGTGATTGCATTCAATTATATTACATTTGTTGCTGTACCGTTGTTTAGAGACACTTAACAAATGCTTAAATTGATTAATAAAACAAATCTCGACTATGTCTGCGCAATTTAGTAAACGCTCAACACTAACCGTCGCGGCTGCCTCATTCACATACATACCTATGTACAATACATATGCACTCGTATATACAAAAATATTACTACATATTTTGTTGTGTGTGGATTTTCACATGCCGCAATAGTTGTTGCTCTTTTTTCATCCACATAATTTAGTCAATAGGCAAATGCAATGAAACAAATCATTCAACCATTCACAAGCGCTAAACGCTCTAAATGTCGCTGGACCATCATTTTTTTCAATTTTCTTCTCTTTTCTGTGAAAGCACAGCAGTTGCGAACATTTGATTAGTGTTGCTGTACCATCAGCAATTGTCCAACGCTGCTGGGCTATTTCTGCTGCAGCACTGATGACGATTTTGTACGCTTGGGAAAAGCAGCAGCCGTAGCGCTCAGCGGCTTATCGTCGTCTATTATTATTTGTTGTTGTTACATACACGTATGATTATTGTGCGTTCTGTTAAATCACAAATAATTTCCACATCCTTGTTAACATTCAATTGAAATTTGTATTTTGTTTTTGTTGTTGCTGATGTCACTCAAATATATTTGATATGTGTGTGCTTGGCTTGCTAAATGGTGAATTGGTCTATTTGCTGGTAAATGGAACTGAAAATTATTCGATATTTTCAGAGCAACAAAAAATAATCAGAAAACTTATGTGAGAATTTTGAAAAAAAAAAATGCAAATAAGGTTTTCAGTGTACGCAACTGTAAACATAAAGTTTGCTTATATTTCACTACAACTACAACGTCCTTGACGCGTCGCTTCATACGGCTCCAAGCATCACAATATTTTTGCATTTATCGATGATGTTTTGCGTTTCGCCACTCAGTGCTGCAGCATTGCGAATTTGAAGCTCTGACAAAATGGCGGAACAATGAGAAGTACATTAGGGTGGTACAACAACACTTAGTATCAATAAAATGGTGTTAGGTAAATCAAATAAAAATGCATATCTTTTTCAAGTACTATTTTTATTATTATATTATTTTGTTATCTTTTTGTTTGTTGTTGTTTGTCCACATTAATATTCTTTCTTTTATAAAAGCCTGAACACATTGCAATTGTTATGTAGCCCATTTTACCTTAGTGAGGCCAACTAAATTGAATTTTCACAAATTCGACTCTAACATTTATTTCTGGACCTTCCTTACAATGCATATGTATGTTAAATTGTAAACCAAATACCTAACAGTGAAACATTTGCATAATATTGCAGTGATGGCAGCCGCAATGAAGCTGCAACTACCAAGGACATTCGCTGCTGTTGGAAGGACTTTGCTACATTGCTGCCACAATGGCACTGAAAAATGCAACGAAAAAAATAAAAACAAATCTGAAATCACTACAACTACACCATGCTACGATGCGGTGATTTGAGCAGATTTTAGCGGCAATAATAGCAACAAAAACTGATTGGAGTGAAAAAATTGATATTTTTTCATTACATAACAGCTACTCCGCACCAATTTTGATTTACCTTCCTTAGGACCCCCGATGAACGATGAGTCAATCTGCTGGACTAGTTGCCAAAAAAAAAGTTATTTAGTCGCTTAAAACTTAAAATTTCTATTCGAAATTCGAAAAAAATTCACTTCCTAAAATAAATTCCGTGTCGTCCGATTTTTGCAGGAAATTTCACTTTTTAACCTTGTATTTTTCGAAAAACTGTTTTCTGGAGTAGATTTGCTGCGGCCATTATTCCAGTGTCTCACTTGTTGAGCAAGTCGAATCAGAAGGGAAACTATGGAGAAAGCTTGAACGAGATAATAGCCATCCAAAGAAAACAATACCCTGATAACTTAGTGATTTCTTAATAGTATGGGCTGGGAGTCTCTAGAAGGCCGACTGAGGTAGACAAATCAAACATCGAAAAACGAATGATAAACTTAAAGTGAAGTGTTCTCTTTATACTCGAAGAAGAAAGAGTTTGCAGCACTAGTTGATATATCACAAAACCACCCTCTTCATATCCTACATGACTATTTGGGTGCGACGAAAGCTAAAGAAAGTTGGGTACTCACTTCGCCTCGAAAAAAATGACACGTAGTTATGACTCAAATAAATTTGTATTAATAATAAAATCTGGTTCACTTTAGAATGAAAGACGAAAATTATTTTCGCTTAACCGATCCAATAAATTTTTTCAATTTAAGGTCTATGATATTGACAAGGAAAAATATTTAAAAAAATATAGATTTATTTCACACACACCGTTAACTCTAACCTCTTAAATGTCACTAATAATAACAGAAGCTTATAAGGAAGTAATGGAATCAGAAAGCTACAGAAAGAAGGATTTCTATTAAGACCCACTCAGTTAGTCTCTAACTAAAAGAAAGCGTCTCTTCATGAACCCCTAGTATGGAACTGTCATACAGACTATAAACCAACTTCCCACAGTCTGCTTGCTAAGCAAAACACAACCAGAAGGGAGCGCCATGGTATGACTTTTCCTATGAGAAAACTGATATTTAAAGAATTTGCAATAAGAACTCTGACAGACGACTGTAGGATAGGTTGAGATGAAAGGAAGTTAAAAGGTCTTATATCCGATGGTGCAAGAGGAGAAAACGATCACTCAATCTTCTACTCTAAACAGTATTAAATTAGATATCGCCAAGTCGATGACTTAGACTGTCCGCAAGAGAACCGTCGCTCTGAAGCGCCCAGTTTTGGCCAACAGAATGAGAATTGTGGTTCATTACGACAACGCCAGGATACACACGTCGGGGCTTATGTATCCTACCCATAGGCATGACTTCGCACCAAGTGATTACAATCTGTGCCTGGCGAATATAGCGAATGTCGAAATTTAGCTGGTGGTAATGGGATTCTATGAGATGAGGCAGGATGCTTAGCATCATAAGCATTTAAGTCTGACAATGGTAAATAAAGCCTTCAATTAAATGCAGAAATAATGGGTTACTTTTTACTAGGCCTAAATTTATTTGGCCCGCTTGGCGCTTTGTGGTAAAAAAACAACAAAGGCCAAGATATATATGTACCCAGCAATCACTTCAAGTGAATTAAAAATTGGTTAAAAGAAATCGGTGAAAATTTTCATGCATCAAAAGAATTCGCAATTCAATGCACAAACCATTCAAATGAAGCGTAGTAAATAAAAATTTTGAAAAGAATTGAAGTCTACTACAAAGCAAGCCGAGAAAATCGCAGAATATGAAGAATCAAATCAAGAAAGTTCTTCTTTTCGATTTCAAGCACTTCTGGTGCAGGTAGCAGGCAAGGAAAGTGCAAACAAACTAAGAGTAATGAAAAAGAATATAATAAAATATTGAAATCGGAGTAAAAGTCAGTTTGATCAAGTAAAAGTCTCTGACTTGAATTGTTTACTCTTGGCGTATGTACACGTATGTATGTGTGTATGTATGTATATATATAAATGTGTAAGTGTACTGACCGAAGCGTTTGCTACAAATATCCGCTTTGTGAATCCATATGCAAACACAAGAGATCTGTTACCCGCATACACATACATACATACATACGTATATTTAGTAGACATAAAATAGAGAGCGTAGAGTACAAAAAGTAACTGACGTGTAGTGAAAGTCCCTTTTGTATTGGTGTCCACCCACAAGGAGTGATGAGAGCAGAGGCCGAGAAAGAAATCAAAATATTGCAATTTCATTTAGACAATTGTCTTTTTTCAACTTCGCTACACACAGAGAGCTGCCGGCAGCATGCCACAAAGCCACACAAACAATTCACAAAACGCTTACTAAATTTTTTGTTGTTGTTTCTTGTTTTTTCTTTTTGCTCAAAAAATAAATAAATGTTACTGTCGAATGAAATTTGAAAATATTTCATTTTCATCTTTTAAATCGATTTTATTGCTGATTTCTCTGTGCACGTGCATGTGCGTCAGTGTGTGTCAGTGTGTGTCGGTGTAAACAGATATTTTATTTTGTCATTTATTTGCTTGAAATTGAATTTCCGTG